TACAACTTTCATGGTTCTTAGTTTGGATATTTTATTTAAAAAATACATACATGTACATAAAATAAAGCATGGAGCAGAGTTTGGGTAAAATTCAAATAGATAAAGTTTTTTCTGTTGAAATCATTACATGACATTCACATTCTCATTAACTTACAATTCATTTGACTTTTCCTACATTAAAATTAGTTCAATTCATCAAATAAGTATGAGTTTGAACAAACGCTGTCTTGGATTTAGTTGCAGAGTAGTAGAAATTATTTTTTACCACAAAATGGCCACCTGTCAACCATCTTGGATTGACCTGAATCCAATGTACTGTACTGTACCTGTAAACAACAACTGTAATTTAATTGTGTTAATACACTAAAAACCAATAAACAATGCTTCACCAATATTCAAAATGTAAAAAATAACAGTTACTCAGCAAGGTGATTTGATGTACAATATTAGCTGACATATACCGATATTTAAATAACACTGAGTATACATGCACTTTATGCGGTTACCACAAAAATACCACTAAGTAGCGGTACTTTCGCTTAAAAGACTTTTTCGGTGTTTCATATAGAATTTATATATTTTGATTTTTGACAAGTTGAATGTAAAACATAGGTTAAAAAGTATATTCGCTAGATTTTATTTTCACTGAATCATTTCTTTAGCGAAAATTAGTTCCAAGCGAAAATAAAGTATGCTTGAAGGCAGTACAGTGATTGCATCGATAATGTGTAGCTATACATCTAATGATAGGATTCTATTTCTTACACTCGCTATAGTGATTCTATGCACAATGGAAACAAAAACAAAGTGTTTGAATGTGACATCAATAACCTGGAACACATTCAATATTAATGATGTACTTTACTCAATAAAGAAGGGAATTCATATATGTTTTAGAATGAATGCAGACACCATAACATAGTTATAATAGTAGTGGTCCTTCTACATATGGTAATACATACATACATGTAGCTTTTTCGATAACATCTAGGAAATTAGGAAATTCAGAAAAACTACTGGAATGTTATAAAGGCAAACAAATGGAGAAATCAAATTGTACGACAAAGATTGATAACTGTGAAATAAATTTACTTGCAATCCATACTATAAAGGGATGACTACAAATGGTAACATTGTTACTAAAGTTGGCAGTAAATGTATTTTGTATTCATCGACAAGTAGATTGTTTTCTCCCAGTGAAACTGACACACTCCACTGTAAATCATTTTAATTTTTGAGAGACACATTTTTTGTAGATTTCGCAAGTCAGAGAAAAATTGCAATAATTGGTTGCAGTGAAAATGTCTACATCAAGGAATGTCAGCAACTTTCGCGATATTTTGTCTACATGAATGCCGAAAATAGCAGGGAGCAAAATTTAGATGGTTATCATTCATCATCGGGTACTTTCCAGCCCATCTTTCGTCCCTTGTCGTAAAGATTCTTCAGCGTGGCCTCCCAGTTTTCTCTGTCTTCTCCATTGTTACTGATATCTTTGTATTTCTTGTACAGCATAACGGCTGATCTGGCATCCTCCGTACTGTCATGGGTGACTCCCTGAATGTTGATGCCTGCGTCAAGAGAACAGTCAAAATTGGTTCACATATATGAATGATAAAAGATTGGGTGCATGTTATGCCAACCTGTGATGTCACGTGGCATGGTAGATAAATTTCTAATTTGAAACTTTAAAATGATTGCATTCCTTTGGGTTATTTGACTGAATACACAAGTTGATGACCCTTCAAGTCATGAATCAACATTAAATGCTGCTGACATATTCGAACAGAATATCACTAGACCAGAAACGCATCTATTCAACTTACCTAGAAAGAACCATGCGAGGAATCGCAATGACGGTATACGTTGTTTAGGAAGGCTGAACAGTGATGCCGTGTCTATGACTTGGTGTTGTGGAACCTGAACAGAGAGATGTACGAATTGTATCAATACAACCTCACAGATATGTAAAAAAAAAACACAAATTCACAACACTACTAGCAATTTCTGCGACATAAAGTGAGCCTTTGAAAGTACTGTGAAATACTTTATTTTAGCTGGAATTAATTTGTGCTGACAAGCCTTTTTGGCTGTTTCGTTTATTTTCACTGAATGTTAATCAGTTGAATGTAAAAGGTATATTCGCTGGATTTTATTTTCACTCAATCATCCTTTCAGCAAACAAAGCTGAAATATGCAAAGCAGTTTGGGGATGATTCATTGTATATGCTGGGGGTGGCAATAAAGGATTACAGTGACCCCTCGCTAAGTCGCGGGTGTCGGGATCCAAGCAAAAACCGCGACTTATCGAGGGCCGCGACTTACCGAGGGACGTTGTGAAGAAGGGAGGTCGTGCATTGAAAAACATATAAAAAGCACATATAAACCCTCGGTTTAGTTAATTGATGTATCATCACATGCATCAGGCAGTATTCAAATAAAATCATGACTATATTTGCTGTAAACATTGCGTTGTTTATTTTGTTTGTGTCCGATATTATGTGGGTCGTTTGCTGTTGCTTGAGACTTCGACGGTAACAGCTTCCAAAATAAACCAGTTTCGTCGCAATTATAAACTTGTTCGTCAAAATAACCACCTTCATAGATAATTTCTCTCAGTTTTCCGGGAAAAGTTCTGACAGCGTCTATGTTCGCAGATCGAGCTTCGCCTAAGATTGAGACTGCGTGTATAGCGTGTCTTCTTTGCCATCGCAAGAACCACCCTGAACTGGCCTCAAATTCAAAGTCGTCATATCTGAGTTGTGTGCCTTTGCATTGGGTGATGGGACCAGAGAGTGGAGTTCCGGCAGACCGTTCTTGAAGAAACGTAAACAGCTTTATCGATGTCATCATTGTCGGACAATTTCGCACGTTTTTCTGTTCAGTCCTGCATCTTGGTCAACTTTGAAAACAAATTTACTTTTCATTTTTTACCCATCCACGAATAGTGGGCTCAACCACTGCTAGATCACGCGCAACCCTTAACTTGGTTTCACCTCTTCTTGACATGGTTGATCGCTGTGAGTTTAAGGCGTACAAACAGGCTGGATAACTTTTGCTTTGACATGCTGCTCAATTAAGAAATAGAGATCAGATAATGAATTCAACTCATTGTAGCGAGTTTTTTAGAGGTATACCAAAATGGGACCGGCCGAGAAGTACGTATGGTCACTACTCAACACCCCTGTTGACACCTTGAGTAAGGCTTCCGTCACCCATTGCATCTCAGCAATTGACGGACAGTAGGTGTTAAGTTGTCTCTTTAACAGTTAGTTAAAAACACTCAGCCACGAAACATTAGTCTTTGTACTTCAAAACTGCTGTCAAAACACAATAGAAAGTTTGGGAGCCATCCAAGTACCCGCGACTTAGCCGAATCACGACTTACTGAGGCTCGACTTAGCAAGGGGTCACTGTATATGGGTGGCTGTATCCTAGCCAGGCCACCTCGGCAGCAAGAATGGCCATCCCTCATTTAGATTTCGTTCTTACCAGTAGATTGATGACTCTGAAATCTTTTTTGAGTCCATGTCCCACAAAGGTTACACCCTGATCTATCAGATATCTTAGTTTCAAGTATGTGGACTTCAAGGTAGTCAAATGCTTTGATGACATGGTAGCATCTAAGTCACCTGGTTTGATACCAGAGAACTGAGTTAGGTAGTCCACAACCTGAAATATAGAAATTGAACACTGAGTTAGGTAGTCCACAATCTGAAATGTTGAAAATGAACACCAAGTTAGGTAGTTCACAATTTAAAATATAAAAAAATGAACAATGAGTTAGGTAATCCACAAACTGAAATAAACATAGAGAACATTGAGTTACATAGTCCACAACCTAAAATATAGAAAATGAACACCAAGTTAGGTACATGTAGTTCAAAATCAGAAATGTTGAAAATAATCACTGAGTTAGCTAGTTCACTAAGTTACTGTAAACCACGATAATTTAAAGAGAAGCACATTTTCATGAATTTCGCTAGTCAATTATGTAGCAGTGATTTTGGGGTCCTATATTGTAAAATTTTGTTTTCACTAATGACATAAAAGCCTGAGATTGCGAATATTTCTAGCAGTAAAAATCAAAAGATTTACAG